CCGAAAAGATCACTTATCAGTTGACTTGATTCCTGGTCATATTTTTTAAAATGATTCCGAAGAAGAATCGCAAACGAAATAAGGTGACGCTAACGCAAAAATCGATCACAAATTAAAATTCGCCAAACTATATATTAATCGATAGACCTTTCGAAACTGGTTCATAATATGTAGTTTTTAGTTTTTTAACCCTTTGAGGACTAAATTTTTTTTTATCGAGAAACACATTTTTCAAACTTTTTATTTTATTCTAACTGAAAATGGTTACATAAAAATGTTATGATAATCGAAAAAAACAATTTTTTTTATCTTTTAAACAAAATGGCAATTTGCCAGTAAAGCACTCGATGTTGGATCGAAAATCTGCTTTCTTGGTGCTACAATAAGCACACCTTCTTCTTTTTCTTTTCATAGGCAAACACATTTCATTGTCAAAATTAATTGTAAAAACGGTATGAAAAGAAATAAAGAGTACAAGTTCGAAAGAAAAATGATATACTTTACAAATTCAAGAACAATGTAAATTCGTCAATGAGAACAGAAGTATATATATATACCCAATAGAAAATGAGAATATTCTCGAAAAACAAAAGATCAAAAGAGAAGAAAGAAATTATGAAGTCACTATGCCTTAGCAGCAAGAACAAAGAATATTTGAAAAGACGTTATATGAGAGAAGGAAAGAAAGAAAAGAAAAGTATGAGATAATAAATGTAGTTGTTTATGACCTTAATGACCTGATATATTTAATAGTTTAATGTGAACTAAACATTTTTTTCTTTACTGAAAAAATAAGTGGGTCAAAAATAACCCACCGATCCTCAAAGGGTTAAACCCTATGTCAGATCGGAAATTTAAGGAAAACTAGTTCTTCAAAAAAAAACTAAAATAGCAATCTTTCCTGAAGATTACAGATTATTCTAGTCGCGATTGATTATTCTTCGCTGAAACTGCTTTATTTGAATTCAGCATGAAAAACTGTAGTAGTTAGATGATTTTGACGAAGTTTGATCGTTGTAGTCTGATTTGGATAGTTTCTCAAGAGTCACTGTCGACCAGACTAACTCGTCCAGCTTCCAAATCTATCTCCTTTTTTAGAACAAGAGCTAAAACTGGTTCTCACACAGTTTTCAAACCATCAAGTGATAGAGAAAAAAGTTACGCATGCTTGTGGGTGTGGGTGTGGGCGTGAATATGGGCGTAGGTGTGGGTGGGTGGGAGTAACAAATTACGATACTCATACCCACACCCTGGATGCAAACAACAATTTTGTAATGATGAACTTGCAAAAATCCAGTTCTGTCCGGCTCAGTTTAACTTCTTGTCCGGTTCGGTCCGGTCCGACCAGACCGGAACTGGATTGCCAGATTGGTTCTAACTCTGACAGCAACCGTTCATTGCATCATGATTCGTTAGATAGCAAAGCAATGCTTCGTTAGAATGCTCCTTCATTACATTTCGCTGAGTCCTTTATCAAACAGTCACTGGATGATTACTGTAGCACCAAGAAGGAGAAAAATTGCAAAATCTTATAAAAAGAGTGAACAGTATAAAATGTGGAAACTTATGTCACCTGGCTCAGCTGTGTTAAATTGTTTACAAAAACAAAACAAGTATTAAGATTACCAGAGTCAATCGAAGATTAATAGAACGAGGTGTTTTTTATATCACGTTATATCTTTTAAATAGCTCTATTTTGATGTCCTTTCTTTATAATAAATATATATTTTTTACAAGGAAACCTTGTTTCTTTCTATTTTTCTAGTCGGGGAAATTTTTCTTTTTCACGGCATATTCTACACCTCTGGGTGTGCGCATCATTTTCATGAACATCTGAGCTAGCTGCATCACTTGATGACATTTTCAAACTAGCAGAGATTTTCTGTATCATGATGTTGGTATTAGTAATGTTATAATATATATGATTTTTGCGGGGTTTATACGAATTATGTTCAGATGTGAATAGGATTTCATTTAACAACTCTACTAATTGTATCGATCGATGCCATTTCTTATCAAGTACAAATATACTGTATGGTGATGTTGCCCATGGCGTAAATTTCTGCGAAAAAACGCGTTCTGAAAACGCGTTTTTCCATAGCTGCAAAACGCGTTAATGCTGACCGGTTTGACGCGTTCCACATCAGCTAAAACAAACGCTGTGTAACGATTGTTTTTGTGAAAAATTTTGCAGCGTTTCTCAAACTGTGGTGTCGTATATTCTAGATGAAAAAAACTGAAAACCGTCAATGACTTCATAGGTCTTGAATTGCAGGTACAATTTATGTACTCGTTTACATTTTTGTGAAACACGATCTGAAAGGAGTGTTGAAGTGTTTAAGGGTAGAAATTTGGACCCCCCCCACAGACCGTGACAGACACTCACGTGACCCATCACAGACCGTGACAGACATCTTAATTAATTAATTAGTATTTAATTAATTAATTAATTAATTAGTATTTAATTAGCTAATTAACCGTCACAGACCGTGACAAACAGGGTTTGGACCCATCACAGACCGTGACAGACAGGCTTTGGACCCATCACA